GCTTGGCTTGTGAGAGACAAACTAATTCTGAAGTACCCTGCATGGAATTGTGTCAGAATAGAGGATAAAGATTGGATTTGGATGCAATTTGACTGAGTTTTTCTGATTGAAACATCTATTGGTAACTCTACATGGTGTTCTGGATGTTGATTCTCGTTCTCATCCATTTCAACCTTTGTGACAAGATCCTTTTGATGTGCTGTCTGAGAACAGAGTGATGTATTTATAGGGTGGCTTAATCACCATGAAACTTTTCAAAATTATGCAACTATTTTTTTTTAATGTTTCAATTATCAAGAATGAAATTATACTAACGTTAGGGTACATACAAAATGTCACATAAAATAAAAACGAGTAAAAATCATGAATACATAACATATCTTTATTAATAATAGATTTTTGGAATAGTATTAAAAATAAATTCGTAAAAATTTAATTGGATAATATCTTATCATTATAAAAATCTATATTAACTCTCCTACAATTAAAATATATTTTCTTTTTCAAGAAAACTAGGTAATATTTTAATTAATTACCAAATATTTTAGTTCATTATTCCTGCATTAGTTTATTCCCAAATGATCTTAAGAAAGTACTCCATGTCATTACGGTGGATTAATTCATCAGTCACACTTCAAAAGCTAAACCAAACAGTTTACAGCTAAAGTTTGTGTCATTTACAGCTATACACACTATTGTGGGCACCATTTTTAATAAGACCATTACTACTTATATTTCGTATGACTTTTGTATATGCTCCAAACAATTTTAATACTTCGTATGTGTTATTTTCTTCATTGTCATTATATTCTTTTATGAATTGTTTGGTAAGATTTAATTAAGGGAGAAAACAAAAGTTTGATAACATTCATTGTTTAATGGAATGTGAGGAGAGAGAGAAAAAGAAAACAGAATTAGAGTGAAAAATAGTGTTTATAGAAGTTATCCAGATTTTGCTCATATCGTCGTGATTGCATCTATGCTTCTTTTTTGTTTGAAAAATCTGATTGATAACTATGGAGCAAGTGTTGTCCTTTTGGGTAATAAAAGTTTGATAGAAGTGTCATTTTCTGCTGTAGAATTTGAGGTGTCTTTAGATTGTCATGTATTTTTCCAGAGTTTGATTAACCATGAATTATTATTATGGTGTGCATTTGCTTTGAAAGAGTTTTAATGTGGAAGGACTGTGATTGAGAATTATTGGTCTATATGCAATGCACTTTGAGGAGTGAATTTAAGTGTTCGATAAAAAAAAAAATTAGAAAAATGTCTTTTAAACAACTTTTTTTTGACAATTTTTTTAAAACAATCTATGTAATAATTTATAATTGATTCATTTTAAATATAGGGATCAATCAAATAATGACACTGTTATAAAAAAGTTGTTAAAATAATTGTTAAAATATCATGGTCATAAGATTAATAAATATGTGAAAAATACGAACAGTATATAAAAGGTTTAATTAATTTTTTGGTTTTTATTTTTTTTAAATGTTAAGTTGGTTCTTTTAATTTTTTTATTATTTTGATTTGGTTTTAATTTTTTTAAAGTGATTTAATATGATATTTTTGTTAGGATTGTACAAACGATATTAAAATTATTATTACTTGTAAATTTGTGATAATAATTTTTTTATTTGGTTTTGATAATAATTTGAGGACTGAATTTAAGTGTTCGATAAAAAAAAGGAAGAAATAAGATAAATAAATATATGAAAGATAGTGCAGAAAAGACCTTTAAAGTCACCATTTAAACGTCCGACTCTTGAATATCTAACGTAAATAATGACCAGTGACATTTTTCGTAAATAAAACAACCATATAAACATCTGTTCTGGAGGAAACAGACGTCTACAACCATATAGACGTCGGATGTGGGGGAACCGACGTCTAAAAAGTCACTTTTTAACTCCATTTAGACGTTCGATCCCGCCAATCCAACGTTTACAGCCATATAGACATCTGATGTGGGGAAACCGACGTTTATATACTCATTTTTTAAATCTAAAAAATCACTTTTTAACTCCATTTAGACGTCCGATCCCGTCAATCCGCCGTCTACAACCATATAGACGTCTGATGTGGGGAATCGACGTCTATATACTCATCTTTTAAATCTAAAAAGTCACTTTTTAACTCCGTTTAGACGTCTGATCCCACCAATCCGACTTCTACAACCATATAGACGTCTGATGTGGGGGGAAACGACGTCTATATGGCTGCATTAAATGTTCATCTTCCTCGCGTTTGCTCTCTACAGGTTACATTTTTTAGGTTCATTTTCTCACTTTTGCACCGTTTTAAATTAATTTTACTCCGATTACATCACTCTTTGATGAATTATCTTTCATTTGAACCGATTAAAATGCGTTTTCGTTGGGTTTTGGTGCAGTTTTGCTCGTGTCCTTGGGCGGCGATTTCTTGCGTTTTGCACTCCTCTGCACTACGTTTTTAAAACCATCCAATACAAAAAAAAAGTACAATACATTTTCTTCAACTAAAATATAAAGTTGTAAACTCGAATCACCTTGAGCCAAGAGCAACCCGAGAGGTTTTAGATGCAATCAAATACGACAACGTTTTAAACTTCTAATCTATAATATCAGACGTCTATATAGACGTCGGACCTGTATCGATCGGACGTCTATATAGACGTCAGACCTATTGGGTCCGACGTCTCATTAACGTCATCCGTATAGACGTCGGACAGAGATCAGACGTTAAAAGTCCAAAATAACATACGTTTGGTGAATGTTTAATTAGTTTTTTTTTAAATGTCAAGTTTTGAATTATTATTTTTAATTTGGTTTTTATTTTTTAAAGTGATTTAATGTGATATTTTTGTTAGGATGGTACAAAAGTATTAAAATTATTGTCACTTGTCAATTTATGATAACAAAGTGTGACGGTCTGAATTTGATCCTATATTTATTTTTTAGATTTAATTTAGTTTTATTATTTTGTAAAAATAGAACAATTTTTTTAAAATATAGATAAAATTTATTTTTTTTTATAAATTCTGATAATTTTATTAAAATTAACATTTTTATTAAATATTTCTGAAAATACTTTTAAATTAACTTTAAAATCCATATCAAATTGAAACTAGGAAATAATTTTTGAAAAAAACAATAATTATGAAAAAATAAAATTAAATGTGGAGTAAATATTTGAATCTCAAGAAATTATTAAAAATTTAACATTTTTATTAAAAAATTTTGAAAATATTTTTAAATTAACTTTAAAATCTATACTAAAATGAAGCTAAAATATAATTTTTGAATATATATATATATATATATATATATATATATATATATATATTATGAGTTAAAACTTAAATATTAATAAACTATTACTAGTTAATTTATTAATTTCAATTTTTTCATGTTTTTGTTGTTGTATGATTTGTTTTCCATTGCACAACTGTAAAGTAGCATATGAAAAAAAGTAAGCAAATTAAAAAATTAAAATAAAATAATCACAAATTAATATATGATACTAACTTTAACATAGCGTATTAATGAAAACGACTAAATTAAATCAATTTTAAAAAAGTTAGAACTAAATTGAAATGAAAAACAACCACAAAAATAAAGACCGAAAGAATAATTAAATTTATATAAAAATAAGTAAAATAAAAATACTTTTTTCAAAAAAAAAAAGTTATAAAATCCTTAACATAGATGATAACGTGGTTTGATCCATCTATTTTAGTTTGTCTCATATTTGGTTTGTAAGAAATGAAACAAACCAGACAGCCTCCAACAGATAGGAGGCATCATATCTCTATTAGTTTACAAGGCGTTCTAAACATTTATATTATACAATAATACTTGTCTTTTATTATTTTTGAGTTAAATATGATTTTGCTCCATTAACTTTTAGTGAACATTGGAATTAGTCCATCTTTAAAACTTTGATCTAATTTACTCCCCAAACTTTAGAAATGATTGAATTTAGTCCTTTTAATTAAATTTTATTAGGTTTATTTGATGTTTCAAGTGTGTTTCATGATAGCATTTGAGTTATTTATACCGTTTGACACATTTTTGCTTCAATGTTAACTGAGAAATGTCTTTGAAACATCAAATAAAGTTAACAAAATTTGGTTAATAGGACTAAATTCATACATTTCTAAAGTTTGAGGACTAAATTAGTCCAAAGTTTTAAAGAGGGACTAATTCCAATTTTCACTGAAAGTTAAGGGATCAAAAATATATTTAACCCATTATTTTTTAACTCGTCTCAGGTAAGGTTTGGTTCTCATAGGTTGATTTGTATATAAAATTATTTGTTTGTAATTTTTATTTTCATCTAACATGTAAAATACTAGAATGTTTAATTTTAATAATTTTATTTTTATTTAATTGATTTAGTAGAAATAATAATTTTACAAACCTAATTATTAAAAAGGTAATATTCATAATTTTATAATTTATAATTTTAAAGTACCATCAAATGTTAAAAAATTCATAGCATAAATATATAACTAAAAGAACGAAAACTAAATTTCTAGTAACTAAAATTGTCAAACAATAGTTTCTTCAAAAAAACTTGATGGAAATTCACAGAATAATCACATTAATAGACACGTCATCAACGATAGATATATTTTGAAACAAATTCGTACAATATATAGACTACATGGACCAATTGTCTCGTTTCGTTGGTTCCCATTAATTATAAGTGTATAGTAAACCTAAATAGATCAAAGAAACCAAAATATTAATTAGATACACTCTTTTTCTTATAAGCCTACCAGTTAGATCCATGACTAACCCATATTGTAATTCTCTCTAACAGCAATCAAAAGCAAAATTAGAAATATCTCTTTTAAATTTCTCTCTTTCTTTATTAATTTGTGGACCAAACAACTTTTTTTATCTTCTTTCTCACAATTTCTTTCCTAATTTACCTTTATCAAACAAAAATGACAATAGAAGTGTGATTACTAATTTATTGTTTTTCTATTACATTATTTTTATATCTGTGTTTTATATTGCGAATTTTGTGGAGAAAAGTAAAAGAAGAATTTATGTACATTAAAAACAATTTATTAATTATTATTAAATTTAAAAATATTTTCAAGGTCTCAAAGTTACATTAAAACGAATGGCAGAATGTGCTGTTGCAGGATCATAGACGACAGTTTCAAGTGTAGCATAACCCCTCAGAAAAGCAAACCTCCCAGTTCCAGACACCACCGAAAGCTCTTTATAATGCTCGCGTTGCCGACTAACGCCCTGGATCTGTAGCGTGCTTCCACTGAATTCCGCATTCGTGAACACGATCGAAAGAATCGCGTTCACATTAGCGCCATCCTTGGCTGATACTACCAGAAGCCCCTGGGCCCGGCCCACTTGAGTAGACAGTGGACTTGGGCCCATGGTGACAGGGTCGTCCATTGCAATTATGGTTCCGAATTGGTCGAAGGTCCAGTCCCTTCCGGGGAGCCCAATGATTGGGGTGACGGTTGCACCGGGCCCTTTTGCAGTGTCTTGAAGGTGGAAAGTCAAAGTTGTTTGACCACCGGGTTGAGCATTAGCTTGATAAAACAATGTGATGGATATGAAAAGGAGCGATGAGAAGGAGAAGAATTTGGATGGAGCCATTTTATGGTGTGAGAATGGATTTCCATGCTGAAATAATTGGATGATATTTATAGCACTAAGCCAGAAATTAAGCTATTAATTTAATGTTTCCTTACGCGTTATAAAAAAAAAAGTGTTCTCACTTTTCATGTGAAGGAGTAATAATAAACAAAGAAGCGCAGAAGAAGCAATAAAGGGTCTTTTTTTTCTCTTGCCAACTGTTAATGATTTGAAACCGTTGTTTGTATTGATGTAAGATGAAGAAAATCGTGTGTTTGAGACAAACTAACGGCTACCACATGAAATTAGTTTCAGTTCACTTCTTCCCGTAAAACACAATCGTTGTTCGGATTACTGACGCAGGAATACATGAAACTTCTTTTAATTCTTCATTAATTATATATATATATATATATATATATATATTATGCAACTTAGTTAATTCACATATTTCATTTTTAATATATCAAAGAATACCATTTTAATTCGATAATTTTAATTATGTTACAATCTATTAGATTAATATAATTGAAAACATAATTGATGCAATTACATTCTCTTATCCAATGATGTTTGTATGATAAACACTGAATTACATTAATTTTATAAGAAATTGACGTGAGGATAACTTATAAATTACATCTAACTTAATTTGTCGTCTGTTATATTTAGAAACAGTTAAGGTCCATGGATGAAAATGAATATGAATCTAATATAATTTGTTTCAGGTATATGATTAACGTTCTTTATTTAAAGCACTTCAAGTTGTTCTGAAGACCGAATAGACTTTTTAGTGGTATTTCATTATCTAAATTATGTTGTTTGTTCTCCCTTTTTTTATTGAAGTTATGTGGATGAATACTTGTCAAATACACTCAGGCACTCAATTTAGTAATATAACTTATTGATTAACACAACAAGTGATGCATATAATATGCATAATAATCCTAAAGTCATACCTGAGTCCTTTATTTATACTAGTTGTGAAGAACCTTTACTTTCCATTGGCCTAATGACGGTTCAATCACACCTTAATTTGCATTAGAGACTTAATGAGTTATTATCACTGATAATCTGACCATACCGTTAGGTCATACTGGACATAACCTAGACCTGGGCGAACGACCCATGTGAACGATCTGGGTGGACGGCCTGGGAGGACAGCTCAGATGGACAGCTTGAGAGGACGACTTGGGTTGATGACCTGAGTGTTTGGTCCGGGTGGTGCTTTGTCAAGGCAGGTACCTAATTAAAGTTTGATATAAAGACAAAAAAAAAATCATGTTATAGTTTCAAGATAAAAGACATTAGAGAAAAAGTAAAATGACTTCTTTTAATGTTGAATGTATAATTAATCTTTTTTATATCAAACTAAGAACAATTATTGAAGATAACAAAATTTAACGTTAATAGAGAAATTAATGAAATTAAAATTTGTGTATTAAGACATGTTTTGTATTCAAAACAAAACATGTTTATTTATTAATATTATTTAAAATTAAATAGATAAATAAATGTATTAATTAGTCTTTTATTAATAATTTGGTATCTGTATTTAGATTTATGATATACTTTGATTTTTAAAATTAAATATGTTTTTTCCCTTAACTTTAACTGAAAATTGAAATTAGTCATCTTTCGAAATTTTGAATTATTTTAGTCCTTCGTCTGTAGAAGTGTGTAAATTTAATTTCTCTAGCCAAAATTTGTTATATTTATTTGAGGTTTCTAACGCATTTCTTTACTAACATCAAAGAAAAAATGTGTTGAACAATGTAAACAACTCAAATGCTATTATGATAAACGTTTGAAAAGTTATATTAACTTAATAAAATTTGTTTAAAAGGATTAAATCTACACATCTCTAAAATTAAGTGACTAAATTGTATCAAAATTTAAAAAAGAGTTCATTCTAATTTTTAAAGAAGTGTCACGTGTTAAAATCTAAAAAATAAACCATAATTTAAATATAAATATAAAAGTAAAATTACTAAGTTTATTTATTTTTAATGATGTTTACACCGATTAAGAAAATAAAACTTAAGAAACTGTAATATATCCAAAGTATTAAATTTTGATTTTTAAGATATTAAAAAAAATAATATATATTTTAAATTGTCCTTAATTTTGATTTTAAATTAACGAAAGAGCAGAAAATATACCAAATTAGGTAATTAAGAATAAAAATGAAAACTAAAGTAATATGAATGGCGTTTGTAGTAGTTAAAATGGTTGATGTAGTATTATTTAGAAGGAAAGAAGTAGTAATACATAATTTTGTCAAGTATGTAAGGTTATGGTGAAGCGAACGGTGGAGCGTGCAGTTACAGGATCATAAGCCACAGTTTGCAATGCAGCATAGCCTCTGGCAAAACGAAATTGGCCAGTTCCGGACACAACAGACACCGTTCTGACATTCTCATTCTGCCGATTAATGCCTTGCAGCTCCAAGGTGCTACCATTGAACTGCCAACTGCTGAACACAATTGAAAGCACCACATTCACATAAGCTCCATCACGAGAGGAAACAACCAGCAAACCTTGGGCCCGGCCCACCATCGTAGACGTTGGGCTTGGGCCCACCGTCACTGGATCATCAACCACAAACACGCTTCCAAATGTGTTGAAGTTCCAATTCCTTCCCTTGATGCCCGCCACTGCTGCAACTGTGGCATTCGGCCCTCTTGTTATGTCTTGCAGGTAGAACACGTATGTTGTTTCACGATCCAATTGAGCGTAAGCTTGATAAACCAGTGTGATGAATAATATCATCAGCATTTGAATGGAGAAGGGTGTTGAAACTGCTGCTGCCATTTTCTTTTTGTGGGGTTATTCAACGTTTGGGATGTAGATGTCATGAAATATTCATGAATTTATACAAGTGAAAGCGTGTTTGTGACAGCTTAAAGTTATGTTGTCTTTTATCAGTTAAGAAATTTTAATACTCAAATTTTATTGATTTGGTGTAAGTTTTGAAAAAAAATTATAATTTAAAGTAAATTTTGCCAACATGATATGAAATTCGATAAAAAAAAATTCTTAAGTTCGTACCATCGTTATATGATTTCGGTCTGCATTTTTTCATTCAATAAATTGTACCGTTTGTTAGTAAATTTTTTTTTTTTTTCTGTGAATGCTTAGTTTTTTTGTTTTAATTCTACTAATTACACAATTTATATTTTTTTTTTTTTTTAAAAAATATTTTTTATCAAACCCTAATTTTAGAAACTTTCCTAAATATTAAACGAAAAAAAACACCTTTCTTCGAAAGATCTTCCATTTACAGCTGGGGTTTTTTTTTTTGGAAAAAAAAATGTTTTGTTCCCTTATAACGCTTTCCTTTTTTGTCTGACTAGTAAGCTTGTGCGTTACCTAATCCCTCCGTGAGTAAAGCCTCCCGTTGAATGAAGTTATAAGCAACAAAGTAAGATTAGCATTTCCCTGTGGAAGAAAAAGTACGAAAAAAAACAAAGGGGTGTTTACAATAAAACGTGTCTCACTTTTAATTAATAATATTAAATATATATATTATATATATATCTTCTATATTATTATCTATAATATGGATATTGCACTTAGTGATCTGTTATTTCAATTTTCTTTTTTTGCAACGTTGTTTTACCGCGCCCCCTGTTTTTCATTATTTCCCTCCATTCCAATCTCCCCTAATTTCACTGTTTTAGTTATATCAACTACCTTAGATATTCCTATATTTTTCCCACCTTATTTTCCCTCCTGTTTCCATTCTCAAAACTTAAAAAAAAAATAAACTTCCTAAACTCTTGCTTATTCTCCCCTCGCGTCATTTTGGGTCCTCAAACCCTTTTTTATTCATTCACACTATTCAAACAAAGGTTTTTTTTTTTTACCTGTTTAAAAAAAGGTTTTTTATACTCGTTTTTTGAGTAGATATAGATGTAATGGTATAAAAAAGGTTTTTTTCTACCTTTTACACCACTGGTTTCTAGACCATTTAATTTATTTAACAGTATAAAATGGTTTTGATATTTACACCTGATATTCTGGAATCAGGTATAAAAAAGTCGCATTTCTTATTTAAAAAACTCACTTTTATACCTTGGTAACAG